ACCACGCAGTGAGGCACAGTAGTTTGCTTGAAAAAACAGGGGGTTCAGGTCGATGTTGCTAAACCCGATCCGGTGCCTAATCACCTATATACATATAGATATAAACGGTAAGCCAAAGCCCAGTGAATGAAAAATGTGTAAAAGGGTTTATGAATGATGTCTTTATAACAATTCCAAACAGTTGAATTCGGTAAAGAATCAGTTCAATAAACAGTATTCATACATTTCAGTGTCATATGAAATCATTGCAGTCATACGTGGTACATTCCGTAGTAGAACAGTACAGTAGGTCTTAAAGACCGAACAGTCAGTTGATGGCCATCAATACAGTAACAGTAGTTCCAAAGATTGGAATTGACAGAGATCTCTGTAACAGTAGCAATAACAATAACAGTAATAGTTGCTATGGCTACCACGAGTACAGTTTACAAAATAGGACCATCATTAATTCAAGAAACAGTGTCATTTCAAAATATAATACATTTAATCGATCAGAAAATAATTGCAATTAAACATAGCTTTACAACATTGTTACTCACAGTGAGCTCCTTGAAACACGTGCTAAAATGCACTAAAGATACGGCATCTGACCTAAACAAACAAATTCAAGCACCATGATTCAATACATAATTTATTCATTTAGTTTGTTCTATTTGTTCTATACTTATTTAGTTTCTATTTATTGCTTATCCGTTTGGTTAAACTTTTGTTCTTTAATTCATTTGTGTTCATAAGATGCGAATGCACATGAAAAACAGTTTTAAACCATGCAAACGGAGGCCCGAGAGGTAGAAAAGAGAAGCCGAAATGTAACTGGGACTACCCTTACAACCGCACGTGCGGGGGCACTTGCCGCACGTACAGAACCTCTACCGCACGTGCGCTCCACACGTGCAATTATTTTAGAATGTGAGCTGGAACAGGAGAGGGTTGGTTGCTTGAGCGGTGGCCTAGGCTGTTCGAGCGGTCTGGGTTAAAATGTGCCGAAAATTGCTCTTATTTTTGGACTTCATTTTCTTCAAAATCTACCTTCAAAACCATATATATCAAAGCCCAAAATTCATGAACACATGTTGAATTTACAATTGCTAACTTCAAACAAGATTTATAAGTTTATAACAAAGCTCAATTTCCATGCCATGATCAAGTTATTTGAGTTGACATAAAAATTCTTTAAACTTGCATTTTTTTGTGCTCCAAATCCTCAAATCTCATGGAATGTCCCTTCAATCTTGAAAACTCATGCAAGAATGGTGTGTATGATTAAAAATAAAATCATGCATGTCCATAGTTTGAGCTAATTCTTCCAATTTAGTTGCTCAAAGACTCCGAGACATTATAAAAGCATTTTAAACTTCCAATTCCAACATCAATGAGGATAGTTCTTTGAAACTTGTAGAACTCATGAAAATCATGCAAGAAAATATGTCTATAAACAAAATATCATGAATCATGCCATGCATGTTGGTCTTGAGCTAAATTTCTACAATTCCTTCTTTATTTGTCCATATGAGTTCCTATCATCAATTTACACTACTAAACTCATAAGTATGCATGATATCCTTTATATTTCAACTCAATGTCCAAAGGATGATAACCATGACATCTCAATTTCATGAAATTAAAGGCAAATTCTCACCTTAAGTTGTTAAATTTATGAACAATTCAAGTTGCCTTTTCACTTCCTCTTCTTCTATCTTCTTTCTCCTTCTTGAGCTCTATTTCTCAAGGTCTTTCCCTTTCACTCTATGTGTATATACCTAGGTTCAACAAGTCCAGTACACTTCTCTCTTACTCCTATTCAATTTGATGAGTAATACACAGTGACCTTCCCCAATCGTACCCAAGTTCCCGAGCCGAGGCAACTTTGGTGATGACGGACACGTGGCCTTTTGGCACCGAGTCAGGGTTTCCTAAATTTCCCAAAATAAAATATTTAGGTGGCGACTCTGTATCTGGCAAAGCAGTCCATGTTTGGCACTTCTTTCAAAAATCTGTTTTCTCAAAACGATTTGCCGGATTTGGACTCTTTGGTTCATACTTAGAACCGTGACAAATTTGAGAGTCCTGAGCTGTAGTGACCCCAAAATGAACAGAACGGGAGCTCGTTCCTCCCGGGGCGTTCGGGGACGTCTACACGTTGCATGCTATTTTGGCCTTTGATTCTAGCACTTTTTGGCCATGCCTGAAACTGATTTTGTGCATGTTTTGGACTGCCTTAGTTCTATTTTTGGGCCTCATGGTCAAATGATGTTTGCTATGCATGGTTGTAGTTCAATACCCTTGCCTAGCTTCGAGTTTTGAAGCCTATTGCATGCGTATTTTGAGGTGTTTCCACATTTTGGCATCATTGTGAATCATATTTCAGAGCTTATATGTATGCCATATTCCCATGTTTTCCACTCTTTAAATGTGTTTGAGAGTTATGCCTGAATACCTCATTTTTGGACCATTGCATGAGCTTCATTTCCATGCTTTACGAGCCATCATTTTAGTCCATATTTGCTACTGTTTTGGCCTGCATAGGGACTATTTGGGGCTAGTTTGGCCATTTGAGTATTGCTTTGAATGCCTATAGTGTAATGCACTTCACTAGTTTCGGTATTTGGGCCATCTAGCATGCATTGTGTGAGGTGTTTGCATGATTCGGGACCATCTTGCTTGTCATTTCAGAGCTAGAAAATATGTGGTTGTATGCGATATTTCATGCTTACCATGCTTTGGTGAAGTTGCACTTTGTGCCTTAGGTTTGGTCCCTTGCATTTGTGGATGTTTTCATGTGCGTTGTTGCTTCGTTTTCATCATGTTTGGCCACTGATTTGGGTGTGGCCGTGGCCCATCTATCTTGGTTTAAGTCCATCTTGCATTATGTATGTCATATAATCCATGTTGTTGCATGTTCGATCATTGCATTAAGTATGCCTCGTTCATAACATCGCGTATGTTAGTGCATTGTGTATGCATGCCATATAATCCATGTGAATTGAGTGTGCTGTTGATTAGTTCATAGCATTGTGTATGCCATTTGCATGCTTGCATGTCATCCTTTGCATGTTTACATCACATAGTCGCATTACATTTAGGATTGCATACTGGAGTTGCATTTTGTACATGTCATGCCATTCTATTTCTTGCATTGTGTTTGGAGTATGGTTTAGTCCAAACACGGGAAATGAGGAATGTTTCACACTCCAAGTGATCAAACGTGCCTCGATTCCCGGTCACCGACACTCTTGACCATCCATGATGGAGTTGTTGGTTTTAGTTGTTTATATGTGCATTCAAGTCCCATTGAGTCGTACAATCCGACTCCTCGACCATCATGCATTGAGATGCATGATTGGTGGCACGAGGATCGAGGACTACACTCCCTGGAGCTTGTGCAATGATGGGGAGAGTGGTCATGCACACATATGTTAAAAATACTTTGCCATGCCCCTTTCTCACTCTCCATTGCAGCAAACCGGAAACCAGAAGCAAAAACTGGTCAGCAGCCTTTTGGAGCTTTATACAGTGTTCTGGGACCAGTTGCAAACAAAGGCAAATCGGGGCATTACGATGGATTTCCCGACAAGGCGACTTGAGCATGCATGCATCCCTATCATTCGAAACAAAGCTGAGGCAGTCCATTTTGTTTAATTTGCATGCTAGTTTCCTTACTTACTTAGTAAATACGTTACTTAATTAATGTTGTGTAATAATTAGTTTAGTTAGCTTAGATTAGCTAGTTTATTCTGA